ATGACGTTACAGTACAAGTTCTCATATGTCCTGAGTCTTAATTGACCTTAGAAGGCTAGGGCCAAAATTTTGGCTTAAGGATTGATTCTTAAAAGCTCTGGGGAAACAAAAAGAGACTGCAAAAATCTGGCTGCTATCCAAAACTTGTCTGCTTCTGTTTGCCTCCCTGTTGGCCTCTCCTGCACTCGGTCCCAATCTGGGATCCCCCTACAGAGCTCCTTTCAGATGATAAGGCTCTTCCTTCTTCCTTCAGCAGGTGATAATGAGAGCAGCAGGAGCTGGGGGTGGCAGCTCAGTGGTAGCACACTTGCCCAGCCTGTGTCAGGCCCTAGCTTCCACCCAGGAAAACCAAGACATCAACAGATGGCTCCCAGTGGAGTAGAAGGCTTTTTCCTAACAGCCGAGTGCGATGGCTCCAGTCCCCTGACACTCAGCACAGTGGGTGCCCAGGTTGCCAGAGCGGCCTCCTCCTTAAGGAGTCCTCCAGGGTACAGCTGCCCTCACCATCACCATCCCTGAGCTGGCTTCTTTCTCAGAGCAGGGTCTTGGGATGTCACCCAGGGATGGTACTAGGAGCACTAACTCATACGCTGCTTGCTTCCAGGTTCCCGCAGACAGAGGAGAGATGGCTCTGAAGATGATGAAGATGGTGACTCAGCAGCAGTAGGCTACCCCGGGCTTGATGGCAGGCTTGGCTCTGGGGACCCAGGAGCTGTGCGGAATATCGGTAGTCCCCAAGTCCAGCATGGGCCGTGCTGACAAAGGCAGCTCCCACAGAGGGTGAAATCATGCTGTCCTCAGCAACTTGGGAGTTATTTCTGCTGGGGCATTTTCCCAAAACATGGCCTTGCTGTGTAGTGCAAGCTGGCCTTCAACTCGCTTCATAACCAGGCAGGCTTTAACTCAGCGATCCTCTTGCCTCAGCCCTCAGCCTCCCAATCTGCTTAAAAACAAAAACTAAGTCTTAAAAAAAAATGGATTTTTAAAAAAATCAAAATGAAGCATTGTGATAGATTGATTTGCTTTTATTGTAAAACCAAATGATGTGATTTACTAAAAAAATGAGAAACTCAAAGAACAACATCAGAACCCCTATTCTCCCGTCCCAGGAAGAAGCATGGTTAGCAATCCAGTGACTGTCCTAGCAGATTTTGTTTTCTATATGTACATATTTTTTTAATAAAAATTGAATCCTTGCTGTATTTCATTGTCTACCTTGTTCTCGTATCAGTATGTCCTAAACACTTGTCAATAAAGGCTCATCTGTAACATTGTTAATGGCTGCTGATCATTTCATTTTGTAGTTTTACTGTTTATCAGATTCCCAGTGGTTTCTTACAAGTATTTCTGGTTAGTCACTGTTGGAAATGGTGCTCTGGTGATTCAGCCTGATGCGTAGGGTTTTATGCACATTCTTAATACTGCTTCACCATGAATTTGTGAAAGGATATTTAGTTGAAGAATTACCACATTTCTTTAAAATTAAAATGATGAATTGAGAACTTAATTTTTTGTGGGGGGGGGGTTCCTTTTTTTTTCTTGTAGCTCACTCAGCCCACCCTGGGGGCAGGGCCGGCACAGCATATGGTGCAGGGGATCGAACCCCCAGTCCCTGAGCTTTGCCTAAGCTTACCTAAGCAGGTGCTTTAGATTGCAGAGCTATCTCATGGGCCCAAACTTTTTTCTTTTGTTTATTGAGACAGGTTCTCGCTATGTAGTTCGGGCTGACCTGAAACTCACTACATAGCCCAGACTGGCCTCACACTTCTGGCAAGCCTACCTCAGCCTCTCAAGTGCTGGGATTACAGGCATGCACCACCATGCCCAGCAGTACTTTTAATTTTTTGGGTACCTGGGATTGAACTCAGGACCTTGCACTTGCCGGCAGGGATTTATGCCACTGAGCAATCTCCCAGGCCCAGAACTTTTAATTTTTTTTTTAAAGTTTATTTATTGTGTGTGTGTGTGTGTGTGTGTGTGTGTGGCCAGCTCAGCCCACCAGGGGGCGCGGCTGGCTGGCATGTGATGCTGGGGGATCGAACCGCGGTCCCTGTGCTTTGCCAAGCTTGTTCCAAGTAGGTGCTTTAGACCACTGAGCCATCTCGCCAGCCCAAGAACTTTTAATTTTTAATTCATAGCTCAAATCTGCACAAGGAACCTTGGGGCTTCCAAGCCTATCCAGAAAGAAACACCACTTCCTTACGGGTAGGGTTGTCTTGAACACCAAACCCCAGATGTGTTCCTGCAGAATGCAAGGACAGAATCACCAGCAGGTCACCCTTGCGTGACCAGCTCTTCGGGACCCTGAGCCTACACAAGGCTTCCTGGGCGGGGACTGCACACAGCCCTGTGGTCACTGCTGATGATCGATACTGCGGCATGCCCCTGGAATGGGAGAATAGCGGCGAAAGTGCCTAGTCTTCCTGGCACCAGTGTGTAGCTTTGTTCCTGCTGCTTTTGCTGGGTATCCTTTGCTATTGAAAGAAAAAGAAAAGATTAAGAGCATAAGATGCTTTTGAATTTTTAAGTCCTGGTAAACCACCAATCACAGCATTGAATTATGACCCATGGAATTCCCAGTCTCATAAGGTCTGTTCTATTCAAAAGGAATAGATTGGGGCAACCCATTAGGGACACTTCCTGTCTCTCAGGAGCTGTTCCTATTCCCCAGTCCTCATTCTCCATTGCTATTCTCCAATAAATTTTCCTACTCTAAAAAAGAAAGGGCCGGCAAGATACCTCAGCAGACTAAGTGCCTACTTCGGCAAGTGCAGAGACCAGGGATGGCCCACATGCGGCGCTGGCCTTGCCCCTGGGGGCGTGCTGAGTCTGGGTGTGGTGGCGCACACCTGTAATCCCAGCGTTGGGGAGGCTGACAACAGGAGGATCACCACGAGTCCGAGCTGCATAGTGAGACCCTGAACCAAATACATAAATGGTAAAATAACCATAATAATAATGGATTGGAGTGGGGGTACAGCTCCATGGTAGACCATGTGCTTAGCAAGCATTCAGCCCTGGATTTGATGCTTAAATCAGAGAAAGTGCGTACCAGATCTGGTAATCCACCTGCCCATTTATTATAATCTTTCTTCACACTTCAGAGAGTATTCACATGCAGCACAAATATTTTCATATTCTGCCATTCAGAGAGGTCTGGCTTCATATCTCTTCCTCAGATCAACTTGTCATTAATTTTATAGTCATATTTCTTCTAAGTCCTGGAAGTCCCGATGTCCTAGCCGCAGAACCAACACCGAGCCCCTCATCTGTCACGTGGGCTGGGGGCAGTGAGCCACTGAGGTTAGGTTGGTTATGCTGGACTATTCCTTCACGGAAGAGGCTACACTTTGTTCTTACTGGAACTGAGACTTGCTGTGGACAGAAATTAGCCTGCCCCACCCGCGGTGCCTCTTCCCAATCTCAGGTCCTATGAATGCCGGATCCATGCTCAGAGCATTCCCAGCAAATGAAACGCAGTGAGATTATTCACGTGGAATTCACAGATTTCACTGCGCTCCTTGCTTATCCTCATGAAGCAACTGCCTCAACAGATGGCCAAATGGCTTCTGGAAATTCACTTACACCACCAGCTGGGGAAAGATACCTTTGAGGACGGGGTGTTACCCGCAGTGCATGATGTGTGCCTAAGTCGGCCTGGTTGTCCTGATTCATGTGTCCAGAGTCGACGGGTCGGAGTGGAAGTGACTCCTCTCACCCCTGGCTTTATCCAGTAGTGTCCAGAAATAAGCTTTTGGCTTTCTATTTCTGCAGTTCATGTTGTTTGGGTCTAGAGGTCCTGGTTGCTGTTATGGCTTCTGCCTAGGTGTACCCCAGAGGCACACATGTTTCCAGTTGGGGCAGTGGGGAGGTGACTGGGTCACGGCAGCGTGGCACTGGATTAGCGTGCTGATGGGTTTAGAGCCTGTTATGACACTGGCTGGTGAGGCACGGTGGGAGGAGCTTCGATGATGCTGTCGCCCATCCCTACACTGCCTCCCTTCTGCCATGTCCCTCTGCCATGCCGCCCTGCTTGGAACCAGCTGGCCAGGGATTAGGCCGCTATGACCCGTGAGTCAAAATAAACCTCTCCTCTTTTACCGTGTGAGTGTCTGACCTTTTGTTTCAGCCACAGTTATAGTTACAAAGAGAGACAGTTACAAAGGGAGAGCCATTCTCAAGGAGCCCAGGAAAATTCTGTTGCACTGGGCCTTGAGGCTGCCGTCAGCCTCCTTGGGCACTGTACCAGCGTGCCCGGCATTGGCTGAAATGATCGGTCCCGACCGTCCTGATTATCCAGGTGATGCCGGCTTGCTGCTAAATGATGGCTTTAATAAGGAAGAATGCAGGAAAACTTTTGGACCAACCCTGATGCTCCCAGTTACTCTGTGGGAGGTCAGTGGAGAACTGCGACATCCTGTGTAGACTTCTCATGGTCCAGACCTTCACAAGGAATTTGAGTCACTCCCTAAGACAAGGAACCATGACCAACTGAGATGCTTGCTGGGCACAGAGGGAATACTGTGCATAACCCAGCTGCGGTGGCACATGCTTCTAATCCCAGCTACTCAGGAGGCTGAAGCAGGAAGATCCCAAGTTTGAGGCCAGTCTGGGCAACTTTGTATCTCAAACAAACAAACAAAATGACTGGTGATGTAGCTCAGTGGTAGTACACTGGGCTAGCACAGGTGAGGCCCTAACCCAAACTAAATCACTCCCGAGCCAAGTGCCATCTATGTGGCAGGTGACAATAGCTGAGGTCTTGCGATCTGCTGTACAGATGAGGGCTGTACTATAACGCAGTCCTTCCTTATTTTGAAATGAATATATTTTAATAATATTAGACAAGTATTTTTCTTTTTTTAAACATTTATTTATTTATTTAGTGTGTGTGTGTGTGTGTGTGTGTGTGTGTGTGTGTGTGGCTAGCTCAGCCCACCAGGGGGCGCGGCTGGCTGGCATGTGGTGCTGGGGGATTGAACCGCGGTCCATGTGCTTTGCTAAACTTGTTCTAAGTAGGTGCTTTAGACCATTGAGCCATCTCGCCAGCCCCATAGACAAGTATTTTTCTTTCCATCTCCTCTTTTACCCCTTTATCATCTAAGTTGTACTAATAATAGATAACTTGTAAGTATGTTACAACATGCCAAGCGGGGGATGTGAATGCGCTGCAGAAAAAACGGACAACACTCAGAAATTAAAAAAGGGTCTGTCACTTTCTGCTGGGGGAGAAAGTTATTGTGTTTGGTTGTCAGAGGGACATTGCGTCACGTGAAGCAGAAGCTTGACTTGGCTGTAGTCTCTGGCTGGAGATTACGTAGGGTTTCAGCACACGCCAGGCGTCAAGCTGGCAAGGGCTGGGCTGTAGGGGCTTTGTCATGTTGCAGCAGGGCTGGGTTGAATCACATTTTCCAGAAAAATCTTTCCTCTGTGTTTCTGATTAGGGTGGCCCACAGGAGACATTAGGAGGATGGAAGGAAAGCGGCAGCCGTTGTAATCCCAGCTACGCGGTCATTTCTCTGCTAGCTCTGCTTGTTAGCATTCAGGTTCGCAAGTACCCTGTCTTCCCTTGGTTCAGGCAGGAGTGCTGAGATGGAGCGCCCAGAAATGTTCACGGCGCTCCTGTCGTGGACGCTGTCGGCACGGGCCCCGCTCCACGCTCGGGTTCACATCGTCCTGGTGCTTCTCCGCGTTGCATCCGCCGCGCTTCCCTAACAGCCCGCCCTGCACACCGTTCTTCATCTCCAGCACCAAATGGCCTCACGGCCGGCTGGTGAGCAGCTCCCACGCGGCGCAGCTTAGAACCCCTTTCAACACGCGTGCGCATGAACACAGCGCTGGTCCTCTGAGTAAACCCCGATTGTTACAGGTATTTAAACTATCATGCTGGGCTGGTGAGATGGCTCAGTGGTCTAAAGCA